CTGTCCTCAAACCATCTCCTCCTTGAAGGCTTCCCATTGCTCATTGGCTGTTTTACCTGACAATCTTTCTTTCCAGTCCACCTTGACTAGGTCCCTTTTTAACTCACTGAAATTAGTCCTCTTCCAGTTGAGTATCTTCACCTTTGATTGTTCCTTGTCCCTTTCCATAAGTACTCTAAACCTGTTGATGTTGTGATCACTGTTGTCCAGATGCTCTCCTACTGAAACCTGCTCCACTTCATTCCCCAGAATGAGATCCAGCACCGCTTCCTTCCTCATTGGACTGGAAACATACTGATCCAGAAAGTTATCCTGCACACATTTCAGGAATCCTTCCCCCTCCTTGCCCTTTACACTGTTATTTTGTTAGTCTGTGTGAAGATAACTGAAGTCCCTCATTACCACTACTCTATTGGTTTTGCATCTTTCTGAAATCTGCTTGCAGATTTGCTCATCTATCTCCTTCCCACATTTGGTGATCTGTAATATACACCTAACATAGTGCAGCTCCTATTTTGCTCCTTAACTCTAACCAAATAGGTTGTGTTTTTGGACCCTCTCGCGCATCATCCCTTTCATGAGCCGTATTCGTCTTTGATCAATATTGCCACTTCCCTCCTTTCTTCCCTTCCCTATTCCTCCTGAATACATTGTAGCCAGAAATATTTAGCTCCCATTCCTGCCCTTGTTTGAGCCAGGTCTCCATTATTGCTAATATATCATAACCCCATGTGGCAACTTGAGACTGCAGCTCACCAAGCTTATTTGTCACACTCCGACTGAGTCTGCTCTGCATTTCTCCCCCGTCTAATCCCTCCTTTTTCTGAACTACTCCTTATTACATTGCGATTTGTCTCTCCCAGCCCTCTATGTAACTTGTTTCTCCTCCCTGATGCTACATCCTGATTCCCTTTCCCCCATGAAATTAGTTTAAACATTTCCGCACAGCTCTAGTTAACCTCCCTGTGAGGACATTGGTCCCAGCCCTGTTAGTTGTAACCCAGCCACCTTGTTCAGGTCCCACCTGCCCCACAAGTGGTCCCAATGTTCCAGGAACCTGAAGCCCTCCTTTTTGCAACATTTCTCTACCCATACATTCATGTATTTGATCCTTCTGTTTTGGAGGATCAAATACATGAATTGATCGTGTTTTGATACTCACTTGAGGCCCTACTCTTTATCTTTTTCCCTTGCTTCTGATACTCTCCCTGTAGGATCTCCGCCCTTTTTTTCCCTTATGTCATGGATCCCAACATACACCACGACTCCTGGATGTTCCCCTTCCCCCTGTAGAATGTTTTGCACCCGTTCCGTGATGTCTTCATCCCTGGCACAAGGGAGGCAAATACCATGCAAAAGTCACGTTTTTGGATGCAGAAACATCTGTCTGCTCCTTTCACTGTTGTGTCCCCAATGACAATTGCATTGACACTCTTCCTTGTGTCCCTCTGTGCATCCATTTGCTTTTGACTTCCCTTCCCAGAGGTATCATCACCCTCACCGGTATTCAGTACAGAGAACCTGTTTGTGAGTGCCGCACTCTCAGGGGATTTCTGCATTGCCCATCCCCTCTTCCTACTATGCCAGGTGGTCACCCACTCACTCTCCTTCTGAACCCTCTGTGGCTGTGGGGTGACCATCTCCTGAAAGATTCGATCCATGAACTCTTCAGTCTCCCGTATGCTATGTAGTGACATTAGACTCTCCTCGATCTCAGAAACAACAACAAAATTACATTTGTATAGCGCCTTTTATGTCAGGACTACGTCACAAGCCTTGAGTTCAAGCTCTAGCAGCCGGAGGCACTTCCTACACATACGTTTGTCCAGGGCACACAAAGCATCCTTGAGTTCCCACATAGCACACATTGTGCATGCAACCGGTTTCAGCTGCCCTGCCATATTCCCAGACATATTTTTTGTATCATTTTAATATAACTGTTATATATGTTATAATTATGCACCTCTTTCCCCTTCTGCACCAAATTCCCACTCTCACCAAATTCCAGTTCCCTCCTCACGCTGCTGGACTCTCTGCTCAAGTGAGGCTCTTGCAAGTCTTCCCCTTTACATAGGGCTCAAATCAGTTTTGACTGGTCAGCAAATTTATTAATCCCCAAACTGGGTCTATGATTAACTGCTAATTGACTTGTTTGCCTGCTTACATATAACATTGCTTCTCCCTCAAGAAAGATTTCCCACTCATCTGCTGTTCTCTCTTGCTCTCTGGTATCTCCCTTGCTGAAGAATTCCCACTCTCACCAAATTCCTTAACAGAATTCTTACTCTGTTCTACCTCACTCAGTTCCCTCCTCACGCTGCTGGGTTCTCTGCTCACTCCAATTCAATTCACTCCAAAAATTCAAATAAATCACCTATTCATCAAATTGCTATTTGTGGGATGTTGTTATACAAATTAGCTGCTACATTATGTTCTTCAAAACACACAATGCACTTTGCAGTATATCCTGTGAAGTGCTATGGGAAGCCCTCCTGATGTCACCTTTAAGCTGGACTATTCAAATGCCCTCCTTGCCGGTCTCCCGTCCACTACCATTCATAAAATCCAGGTCGTCCAAAACTCTGCTGCCCGCATTCTTATTAACTTCAAGATCCTCACCCTTGTCTTCAAATCCCACCACTCCTCTGCACCCCCCTACCTCTCTGACCTCCTCTCTCCTCACAACAGTGCCCATTGCCTTCATTCCACCGGGTCTGGCCTTCTCCTTGTCCCCTGAATCCTCCGCTCCACCATCGGCAGCCGTGCCTTCAGCCACTATACCCCGAGGTTCTGGAATTCCCTTCCTCACTCCCTTTGCCTCGCCCCTCTCTTCCTATTTTCAGGTCTCAGCTGAAGACCTTTCTTTTCGACTGCGCCTTTGGTCACCTTCTTCCCCCTCCCCTTGGCTCGGCCCCATGATCCGTTACTGTGAAGCGTTCTGAGATGCTGTCTGGCGTGCAGGGCGCTATATAAATCCAAGTTGTTGTTGTTGATGTGCAAGGCACTATACCAAATGTAAGGCTTATTATTATTATTATCATTATTATTATTATTATTAACATTCACTTAATTCCTAATTAATTCAATTGTGTAAAGCACCTCAAAATAGCTTTGGGACTCAGATACACATACATATTTATGCATATACATTGAGGCAACTGATGAATGCATGTATGTGGAACTCATATTTTGACACAAATTTGAATTTCTGCAATTTTCTTCCTTTCCTCACAGAGTTAGTTCCAAGGGTGCCAATAAGCTCAGGTCTCTTATCCAAATCCCAGTCTAATAGAAGCATAGAAACAGGAGCAGGATATTCAGCCCCTTGATCCTGTTCCTTCATTTTATAAGATAATGGCTGATCTGTACCTCAAGTCCAGTTACCCGCCCTTGCTCCTGATCCCTTAATACCCTGACCTAACAAATTCAGTGGTGGATGGGTGTCAAAGTAGAAACTGATTCAAAGCAAAACCCAATTCCCACAGTTACATTTTCTAGCAGTAACATGGTTATCAAACATCTTAATCCCAATTGACAATATTACAACTGTTGATGTGGTGACTCCAGTACCACAGACTACGTCGCATCTCCTGGCAAGTACATAATAATCACAATGGCAGTGAATGGGACAACATGGAATCTGTTGGCATAATTGTGGAGAATGAACACAAACTGTACCTGTGTATCATAAATTATTATTAAAATTGCTTTGCTTTATTTTTTCCTTGATCTCTTTTCTATGATTTTTCTACAACATTTTGTTTTTTCCGACTCATAATAAAATATAATCCTGAAACTTGATAAATATACCACCTTATCACATCATTGAAACATCTCAAAACACTTCATAATGTGAAGGTTAATGACTGGTTACTTGAATTGAGTACGAACCTGGCTGCCAATTTGTGCACAGTAATGTTCAACAAACAGCCATGAAATGAATGAACAATTTTACGTGATGGAGGCTTACTGGCTAGGATGTCGTAAAGAAACTCTTGTTTTTCACTTGTCTTTTCTCTTCACCCGCAAAATATACAGTCAATTCACTTGACAGTATATTTTGTGAAGCGTTTTGAGACGTCTCGAAGACGTGATAAGGCCCAACAACAACAACAGAATTTCATTTGTATGCCTTTCACGTCGGGAGGACGTCCCAAGGCGCTGGTCCTATATCAAATGCAAGCATTATTACTACTTTTCTCTCCCCCACCACTCACACCTTAAGAGTATTTTTGTACTCCTCTCCTACATCTACAAATCTCTTCATGCCTGGCACCTCCCTACCTTCTGACTTGCTTACAACCTACTCCACCACCCACCTCCTCTCGGCCGGCTCAGGTCTCCTGCTTGTCCCTTGTCCTCTCCGTTCCCCCATCGACAGCTATGCTTTCAGCCACTATGCACCGAAACTATGGGACTCTCTTCCTCAATCCCTCCGCCATGGCCCCCCCCCCTCCTTCCCCATTTTCAGAATCACACCCGAAGTCCTTCCACTTCGACCGTGCTTACCATCACTTACGCCCGGCTCGGAGCACTGTTAAGCTCTCGAGAGACACTGCCCCGGCCGCGTGAAGGGCTCTGCGTGAATGCGAGTTGTTGTTGTTGAATGACCAATTTCATGTGGTGGAGGTTTATTGGGTTGGACATATTAATAACAATTGTCGCATTTGATAGAGCGCTTTATTAAGTCGTTGAGACGTCTCACAGCACTTCACGGGATATGTACTGTCAAGTGAATCGACAGTGTACTTTGTGTGAATAAAACAGCGGGAAGAAACTCTGGTGCCTCACATGTCATTTGTGTGCACTTTCCTCTCTCCCCTCTCTCCCTCTCACAAACCACACAATGGTCCTCATTCTCCAGCCAATGCATTTCAGGCTCCACAATGGCGGTGCGGTTACCCAGGATGCCGGGCGCGGCTGAAAGCGCCCTATGCCGCTCACGGACCCAGACTGTCTCTCTCTCTCTCTCTCACTGCGCAGCCGCGGCTCCGTTACCCACAGCACCTCGCGACACAGAGCGCGCAAATAGAACTCGGAGAGAGGTGAGTGACGCCATCAGCGGAGACACAGACCGTGACCTCCCCCACAGTGACCCCCCCACAGTGACCCCCCCCCACAGTGACCCCCCCCACAGTGACCCCCCCCCCCCCCCACAGTGACCCCCCCCACAGTGACCCCCCCACAGTGACCCCCCACAGTGACCCCCCACAGTGACCCCCCACACAGTGACCCCCACACAGTGACCCCCCACACAGTGACCCCACACAGTGACCCCACACAGTGACCCCCCACAGTGACCCCCACACAGTGACCCCCCACACAGTGACCCCCCCACAGTGACCCCCCCCACAGTGACCCCCCACAGTGACCCCCCACAGTGACCCCCCACAGTGACCCCCCCACAGTGACCCCCCCACAGTGACCCCCCCACAGTGACCCCCCACAGTGACCCCCCCACAGTGACCCCCCCCACAGTGACCCCCCACAGTGACCCCACACAGTGACCCCCACACAGTGACCCCACACAGTGACCCCCACACAGTGACCCCCACACAGTGACCCCCACACAGTGACCCCCACACAGTGACCCCCACACAGTGACCCCACACAGTGACCCCCCACACAGTGACCCCCACACAGTGACCCCCCCCAGTGACCCCCCCACAGTGACCCCCCCACAGTGACCCCACACACGCCATGACCACACCCCCCACACAGTGACCCCACACAGTGACCCCCCCCCACAGTGACCCCCCCACAGTGACCCCCCCCACAGTGACCCCCCCACACAGTGACCCACACACAGTGACCCCCCACACAGTGACCCCCCCCCCCCCCCACAGTGACCCCCCCCCCCCCCACAGTGACCCCCCCACACAGTGACCACCCCACACAGTGACCCCCCACAGTGACCCCCACACAGTGACCCCCACACAGTGACCCCCCCACACAGTGACCCCCCACAGTGACCCCCACACAGTGACCCCACACAGTGACCCCCCCCCACAGTGACCCCCCCCACAGTGACCCCACACAGTGACCCCCCCCACAGTGACCCCCCCACAGTGACCCCACACAGTGACCCCCACACAGTGACCCCCTCCACACAGTGATCCCCACACAGTGACCTCCCACAGTGAACCCCACACAGTGACCCCCCCCACACAGTGACCCCCACACAGTGACCCCCACACAGTGAACCCCCACAGTGACCCCCCCCACAGTGACCCCCCCCACAGTGACCACCCCCACAGTGACACCCACCCGCAGTGACCCCCCCCACAGTGACCCCCACACAGTGACCCCACACAGTGACCCCACACAGTGACCCCACACAGTGACCCCACACAGTGACCCCACACAGTGACCACCCCCACAGTGACACCCACCCGCAGTGACCCCCCCCCCACAGTGACAGCCCCCCCACACACGCCATGACCACACACCCCTACACACACACCGTGGCCCTCCCACCCACACACAGTGACACCCCCCCACAGTCACACAGAGACAGAGAGAGAGGGAGAGACACACACACAAGCAGACAGAGACAGACACACACACAGACACAGAAAAACACACACACACAGACATACACGGACAGACAGACACACACAGACACACACACAGGCAGACACACACAGACATACACGGACAGACAGAGAGAGAGACACGCACACAAAAACAGACACACACAAACAGAGACACACACAGACAGACACACACACACACAGACAGACAGAGAGAGACACAGACAGAGAGAGATAGACACACACAAACACACAGACAGAGACATATAGACAGAGAGAGACAGACAGAGACACACAGATACACAGGGAGAGAGAGACACACACACACACAGAGACACAGACAGACACACACACAGACAGACACAAACACACAGACACGCACGGACACAGACGCACACACCGACACGCACACAACAACAACAACAAGATTCCATTTATTGAGCGCCTTTCACGTCGGGAGGACGTCCCAAGGCGCTGTACAGTTGGGTCAGGACCCGAGCAGAGGGGAAATGGTCAGGGGGAGGGGAGGGAAGGGAGGGAGCGAGGAGGGGGTAGAGAGTCGAGAGGGGAGCTGAAGGTACGGTCAAAGAGAAAGGTCTTGAGACCGGCCTTGAAGGAGGAAAGGGAGGAAGCAAGGCGAAGGCACTGGGGGATAGAGTTCCAGAGCCTCGGGGCTGAGAGGCTGAAGGCCCGGCCACCGATGGTAGGGCGGTTGGGGCGGGGGATGTGGAGCAGACCGGAGCCAGAGGAACGGAGGGTACGGGCAGGTAGGTAGGGGATAGTAGGTCAGAGAGGTAGGAGGGAGCAAGGCCGTGAATGGCCTTGTAGGTGAGGATGAGGATCTTGAATTCGATCCTCTGGGGGATGGGGAGCCAGTGGAGGTGAGCGAGGGTGGGAGTGATGTGGTCCCGAAGCCTGGTGCGGGACAGTACACGAGCTGCAGAGTTCTGAATGACCTGCAGCTTGTGGAGGGAGGTGGCGGGAAGGCCGGCGAGGAGAGAGTTCCCATAGTCCAGCCTTGAGGTGATAAAGGCGTGAACCAGGGTTTCAGCAGCGTGAGGGGTGAGGTAGTGCCGCAGTCTGGCGATGTTCCGGAGGTGATGGAAGGCGGTGCCAGTTGTCGAACAGAACGCCGAGGTTCCTGACTGGCTTTGAGAGGTGGAGAGTGCAGCCTTGGATGCTGATGCTGTCAGCGCCTGAGGTGTGGAGGCGCTGACGTGAGCCAATGAGGAGGGCCTCAGTCTTGCGCACGTTGAGCTGAAGAAAGTTGTCTCTCGTCCAGGACTCGATGTCGGACAGGCAGGCTGTCAGGACATCGGTGGTCGTGGAGTTGAGGGTAGAGGAGGAAAGGTAGAGTTGGGTGTCATCCGCATACATGTGGAAGTTAACCCCATGTCTGCGGATTATGTCACCAAGGGGGAGCATATAGAGGGTGAAGAGGAGGGGACCGAGGACAGAGCCCTGAGGGTCACCGCACGAGACAGTGCGGGGGCTGGAGGAAAAGCCATTCGTGGAAGCAAAGTGAAGATGGTGGGAGAGGTACGACCTAAACCACTCAAGGACAGGGCCTTGAAGGTTGAGGTGGGAGGACAAGCGGTGGAGGAGGATAGCGTGGTCGACTGTATCGAATGCCTCTGATAGGTCGAGGAGGACGAGGAGGCAGAGGGAGCCCTGGTCACAGATGGTCAGGATGTCATTGGTGACCTTGACCAGGGCGGTTTCTGTGCTATGGGCAGCACGGAAACCCGATTGAAGGGGTTCGAATAATGAATGGGTGGAGAGGAAAGAGCGCAGCTGGGAGGCGACAACTCGTTCCAGGACCTTGGACAGGAAGGGGAGGTTGGAGATGGGCCGGTAGCTTGATAGCTGAGACGCATCAAGGGAGGGTGTTTTTTTCAAGGTGGGAGTCCTGTAGCTCAGTGGTTAGAGCACTCGCTTTGCAAGCGAGACACCTGGGTTCAATTCCAGGCAGGGCTAAACCTTGGGCAAGTTTCCTTACTCCACACACCTAATAATAATCCCTCCAAAATAAAACAATAATAAATTGGTCATTTTCAATCCACGACTGTTTGTGGGACATTGCTGTGCGCAATTGGCTGCCGCATTCGCCCACAAATATACAGTCACTTCACTTTACAGTGTGTTCTGTGAAGCGCTTTGGGACGTCCTCCCGACGTGAAAAGCGCTATATCAAATGCAAGGATTATTATTATTATTATTATGGTGGCAGTTTTTAAGGGAATGGGAACAGAGCCAGAGGTGAGGGACAGGTTGATGATGTTTGTGATATGTGGGGCAAGGAGGTGGAGCTGGGAGATAAGGAGTGGAGTGGGGATGGGGTCAAGGGAGCAGGTGGTGGGTTTCAGTGATAGGATGAGTTTGGTGACAGAAGGTGGGGAAACGGGTACGAAAGTGTGTAGGGGAGGATGGGTAGGAGTCGGAGTGTGGGAGGGAGGGGGTGGGGGGTGAGTGGATGTTGGAGGGGAAGTGACCGCGGAGCGGATTCCCTTGATTTTGGATTCAAGGAAATCCAGCATCTCCTCACAGTGAAGGTTGGAGGAGATGACCAGCGCGGGGTGGCGGGGGGCACGGAGGAGTCGGGATGTGGTAGAAAACAGTAGCCTGGGGTTGTTCTTCGCCTCCAGGATTATCCTGGAGTAGAAGGACGACTTGGCCGAGGCTGGAGTGGAGCGGTAGATTTTGAGGAGGTCCAGCCAGATTTGTCGCTGGACCGTGAGGCCAGATTTGACGCAGGTACATTCAGCGGCCCGCACCTGGCTCTTCAGTGAGCGGAGGTGGGTGGTGAACCAGGGGAAGGAGCGAGAGTAGGAGACAGTACGGGAGGTGATGGGGGCAAGAGTGTCGAGTGTGGAGGAGAGGGTGTTGTGGAGGAAGGTGAGAGGAGAAGTGGGGTCAGTGAGGGATGAAGGCCAGAGGGAGAGGAGTTCAGAGGACTCCAAGGCAGCGGTTAGGGATTGTGGGGGTAACTTCTTCCAGGGGCGGTAGACGTGGTGGTGGGTCTGGTGGAGGTGGGGAGGGGGTTGGAGGTGGTGAAGGAGATGAAGTGGTGGTCAGAGATGGCCTTGTCGGTGATAGTGGCATCCGAGACACTGAGGCCCCGGGTGATCACCAAGTCGAGTGGGTGGCCGTGACTGTGAGTGGGGGAGTTGATGTGGAGGGAGAGGTTGAGCGAGGAGAGCAGGGAAGAGAAATCTGAGGAGATTGAGCAGGAGGGGGTGAAGTGCCGGTTAAAGTTGCCCAGGATGATGAGGCGATCAGAGCAGAGGCAGAGAGATGTAAAAAGTGTCGAAATATCGACCGTCCCCCCCCCACACACACACACAAACACACAGACACATAAGCAGAACACAGACGAGAGAGAGTAATACAGACAGGAAGAAAGGAATGGGATCCAATCTGGACAAGCAGCAGGAATCTGCCCTGCGTGAGGGGCGTTATATTGTTGAAGAAGCTTGTCAGACAGTGTTTTGAATGGCAAGCTCTTGCCAACCTACATCTAATACTCTCTGAAATTAGGTAAACAGGATGCGTACTATGCAAAGAAGAAATGGGGTGTGTCCCACCCACAAACCACAGTTTCTTCATTTTATATTATATCCTCATAACAACACGGAGAGAGAGAGAGACGCACATTTAAAGAGGGAGTTAAAGATCCTATTGTACTATTCGAAAAGAGCAGTGTGTGAAGCATTTTGAGATGTCTTCCGAAAGTGAAAGGTGCTATACCAAATGTAGGAATTATTATTATTGGAAGTACTGTGCCAAGCTGCCTACCGTGTTGCCAGCTAGGACCGCCCTACCTGTTATGGGTTTGGCTTGCAGGGTTAACAGGAGTTCAGTGGGAAGAATCCCTATTCCAGTGATTCGTCTTCTCTAAGTACTGTGGCTCAGGAACTGGACAACTAAGAGTGCCATATATGGTTGACTCGATTACGGCATTCTGTTGCTAAGAACGTCTCCTGGGAATCAGCTCAGCTCCTAGGAGATCCTGCTTATCAAACCTGTTCAGGTGGATGTTTATCAATCCCAGGCCGATATTCGCACGGAATAGGGAATTCTTCCAGGCATCTGGCCAACAATCTTCCAGATAATTGTGTGTGAAGTGGTGCTGATCTTATAAGTGCCATATCAAATGCAAGAATTATGTTATTGAAATTGTTATCTTAAAAATGCACCTAGAAACCAGAAGATGGCACTGTGCAACAGGACTAGTGTTCGAACAAGTTAGCTCACCCCTTTACTGTTCAAAACTGGCAAAAATGGGTGGGATTTTGCATCATGTCACCAAGTTCAGTAATAGTAGGATTAGAAATAATAATTAAAAAAGGGATTGTGGCTTTTTTTTTGTAAGGTGAAGTAGTGGTTAATTCATGGCTGTTGCCTTTGCCTACAAAATGCTGTCACTACACTTTAAAGTGAGTGCCTTGAGATGTCTGTCTGGTGTGAAAAACACAGTCATTGCACTTTACAGTGTATCCTGTGAAGTGTTTTGTGATGTCCTCCAAGCGTGAAAGTTGTTCACCAACCGTTAAGCTTTTTTTAAAAAAAAGATGACCGATTTTGACAAAATTGCCTCAAGAGTCTTTACCCAGAACTTGAGCATTTATGTAAAAAATGCAACATTGTAATTGAATTCACTAAAATATGAAATTCACCAGAAGGTGGTCTGGTTTGCGGTCAGGATTGTGTTTTCTCAGAAAAGCAGAAAATTGGAATTTTTTCGCAACTAACTTTGTATCTCAGTACCCCAGTCATTCAGAACTTAGTAACTTATCACATAAATTGTTGACATCTATTACAGTTTGATGTATCAACCTGGCTCAGTTGGTAGCATTCTCTCTTCGGAGTCAGATGTTGGTGAATTCAGGCACCATGTCAGGCCTTTGAACTCACATAATCTAGATGCCGCTCCAATGTAGTGCCGGAGTGGGCTGCGCTCTTGGAGGTGCTCTCCTTCGGATGAGATGTTAAACCGAAGTCCTGTCTGCCTGTGTAGATGGATGTTAAAGATCCTGTAGCACTATTCAAAAATAGAGAATTTCTCCCAGTGGCCTGGCTGATAACCCACCAAATAAAATTTGTCATTTACTTCAAGGCAGTTTGTCGAACATTGCTGTGTGTAAGTTGGCTGCCACGGTTCGCCAACAAGTTACACAGTCATTGAACTTTACAGGATATCCTGTGAAGCACTTTGAGATATCCTCCCAATGTGAAAGAGAACATAATCATCCATCATCCCCAACATTTCTCTAGATTGGTGGCACCGCCTTCCATCACCTCCGAAACATCGCCAGACTACGGCACGACCTCACCCCTCACGCTACTGCAACACTGGTACACACCTTTATCACCTCAAGGCTGGACTATGGGTACTCTCTCCTCGCCGGCCTTCCCGACACCTCCCTCCACAAGCTGCAGGTCATTCAGAGCTCGTGTACTGTCCCGCACCAGGCTTCGGGACCACATCACTCCCACCCTCGCTCGCCTCCACTGGCTCCCCATCCCCCAGAGGATCGAATTCAAGATCCTCATCCTCACCTACAAGGCCATTCACGGCCTTGCTCCCTCCTACCTCTCCGACCTACTATCCCCTACTTACCTGCCCGTACCCTCCGTTCCTCTGTCTCCGGTCTGCTCCACATCCCCCGCCCCAACCGCCCTACCATTGGTGGTCGGGCCTTCAGCCTCTCAGCCCCGAGGCTCTGGAACTCCATCCCCCAGTGCCTTCGCCGCCTCCTCCCTTTCCTCCTTCAAGGCCGGTCTCAAGACCTTTCTCTTTGACCGTGCCTTCAGCTCCCCTCTCGACTCTCTACCCCTTCCTCACTGTTCAATGTTTGTAGATTAAACATTTTGAACAACGCATTTTCTTTGTTTGCCGACAACTCTCAGAAAGAAAATTTTGGTGATGTCACCTACAAAGTATACAGTCAATTCACTTTACAGCATATTCTGTGAAGTGCTTTTGAGACGTCTTGAAGACATGATGAGTCGCTATATCAAATGCAAGGATTATTATTATGTTATAGTTGGTTGTGCTATTGTAGATTTGTCAATCTATTGACCGATGCTACGTATTTTTGTGTATGTGAGGGAAACATTGTTTCAGTGTATGTGTTCTTTTTAAGAAAAAGGAAAGGAATACCTACTGCATGTGATCTGGGAGTGCCCAGAAACTCAAATCTTCCGAGAGACTTGTTGGTGAGCTTATCCGTCTGTGGCTGGTGTTCAAAAGCTGTATCTTTATCTTGTGACAGTTTTATGTACAGCTATAACGTCAGTTTACCTTTACATAGTGCCTTTCACGTCAGGAAGATGTCTCAAAGTACTTCACAATTGGGACCCCGAACTGGGGGAGGAGCTAAGGAAACGGGCAGAGTTGAGAGGAAAGGTGTCCCAAACCATGCTCAGAAAGGAAGTTAACGGTGGCTTTTGAAGCTGGTGCGGAGGGGCAAGATGAAGGCACTTCAGGATAGAGTTCCAGAGAACGGGGGTAGAATGGCTGTAAGCTCACTCTCTTATCAGTGGGAATGCCATGTGTAGCTGGTATATTTCAAACTCGATGGACATAAAATCCCAAAGAAAGCTAGTCAGGAAAATGGCTTCAATAACCTGGGTCATCTCCTGATGGATGGCACGATTGTGGTAGTTCATTGTAAATGCTTCATTAAGCTTTCTGTTTGCACTGTCTTCATTTTCGATGTCTCAATCATATGGTTTGTCTCTCTTTTGAGAGAAGAATATAAATTGCGGAAGTCACTTCTAGCAAGGTTTGTGCCTCGATACCCCGATGTCAACATTTTTTTCTCCCCTCCACACTTCTAACATGTTTTATATTTTCTTTCCTCTGGCACACAGTTTGGAACAGTCGATCCTATGCATCCTGGTCAAGGGTGGGCTAGTAATTCAAGGAATCCCCAGTAGAAGCACAATGGAGGGTGCTTGTTAAGAGCTGCCACAACTCCATCCTCATCACAGCAGCTGGGAATATTGGAGTCTGCTTCAAATTGCCTGGAGAAAATAAGATCCACGTTTGAACCTTGCTGCCTGGAGTTGACATGAAATGACGAGGTGAAGGAAGTGGACAATATTTATTATGAGTTACATTTACATAGTGTCTTTGATGTTGGTAGGATGTCTGAAACCGCCTTACACTGCAGGCTGGGCACCCGATCTGGGGTGGGGGAAATAACACCACCACCACCAAAATGACATTAGTAAAACGCCTTTCACGTCAGGAGGACGTTCCAAGGCGCTAGACAGACAGAGTTACGGACCCGAGCTGGGGGTTGGGCTGGAGGAGGGTGGAGGGCAGGGGGGGAAGCAGGGAGATCGAAAGCACGGTCGAAGAGGAGGGTCTTGAGATGGGTCTTGAAAATGACATCGGAGGGGGCGAGGTGGAGGGATTGCGGGATGGTGTTTCAGCGGGTGGGGGCAGATTAGCGGAAGCCCGCCAGCCAATGGTGGGGCGAGCGAAGCAGGGGACATGAAGCAGGCCAGAACCCGCTGAGCTGAGGGAGCGAACAGGATGGTGGGTTGGGAGGTCACAGAGATAGGGGGGAGCAAGACCGTGGAGGGCTTTGAAGGTGAGGACCAGGATCTTGAACTGTATCCTTTGTGTGATGGGAAACCAATGGAGTTGGGTAAGGATGGGGGTGATAGGACCGTGGGCTGCAGAGTTCTGGATGATCTACAGCCTGTGGATGGAGGAGTTGGGGAGGCTGACAAGCAATGAGTTTGCTTAGTCGAGCCTCGATGTAATGAATGCGTGTATGAAGGTTTCAGCGGCCTGCGGTGTGAGACAGCGGTGGAGCTGGGCGATGTTGTGGAGATGGGGGAAGGCAGAGCGGGTCATGGTGCAGATGTGGGGTAGAAAAAATAGTTGAGGGTCAAACAAGACCCCAAGGTTCCGGACTGACTTAGCAAGATGGAGTGTGCAACCACGGATGGTGATGCTGTCAGCGCCTGAGGTGAGGAGCCAATCAGGAGAACCTCGGTCTTGTTGACATTCAACTGGAGAAGTTAGGTCTCATCCAGGACTTGATGTCCGACAGACATTCAGTCAGGACAGCAGTGGTCTTAGAGTCAAGGGTGGAGGCAGAGATGTAGAGTTGGGTGTCATCCGCATACATGTGGAAGTTGACCCCATGTCTGCAGATGATGTCACCAAGAGGGAGCATATAGACATTGAAGAGGAGGGGACCAAGGATAGAGCCCTGAGGAATGCCGCACGAGACAGTCTGGAGGCTCGAGGAGAAACCGTTTGTGGAGATGAAGTGCAAGTGATGACCTAAAGGGGTCAGAGAGGCAAGCTTTAAAACTGGTATTTTATGCTGAAAGAAATCTAACTTTAGGTGTCAGCCTAGCTCAGTTGGTAGCACTTTGATTATGTAATCAGAAGGTTGTGTGTTCACGCCCCAAATTGGGACTTTGAACTCGCAATCAAAAAGAGAGGTGGCACCATTTTAAGCTTGTGGTGCTGGGGAAGTGCTGAATTGTTGAAGATGCCCCCATTAAATGAGACTGTTTTACCTATTAGTGTGGATGTTAAAGGTTGCATGGCAGTATTCCAAATTACAAGGGAGTTGCTCCCTGTGTCTTGGCGAACTAGTCCCCAGATAATAATGCTCACTCACTTTGGCTGTTTGTGGGACATTGCTGTGCGCAAATTGTCTACTTTGCTTGCTTACAAAAATATGCAATCGCTGCACTTTACATTAGAATCTTGTTCAGTGCTTTGTACTTTCTATGTGCCAAGGTGCTATATGAAATTCAAGGAGTATTATTATTATCAGCATTACTTTTATTTTATGGTTCTGGAGTCCCAAGATCTGATGTGAAACAGGAGATGCTCTTTTTACAATGCTTCTGGAGACCATCTGTGGCCAATGACATCCTATATACACCTAAGCGTTACAAGATTCTACTACTACAGAAGGGTACTATATTAATGTAAATTGTTGTTAATGTACGCTTGTCAACAAATACACAGTCACTACACTTTATAGTAAATCCTGTAAAGCACTTTGGGATGATGTGATAAAGCACTATATCAAATAGAAGTATTAGTATTTAACATAATTCATAAAGATTGTAGTGACATCAGGGCAAATAATGCACACAAGAGCATAATGCATAAGCCATTAAATGCACAAGACAAGCCAACAATGTTATTTTTGTGATCACTGCAAAGCAAATAATGATTAGTAGAGGCTGGCAGATGGGACTGAAATGAGCTGAAATGTTTGCACAAGGTCTTTATGTAGTTGTGCTATTGATCTTTGACAAGCAGAGATCATTAAACATTCTAACGATGGTGTGTGCGAACATCTTCATGTTACTGCGACGTTTGCACGATAATGTCAAGATGCCGCAGTTTGCTCCCACCCATCACCTTTTCACTTATCGACCTGACCTATAGATCGGTGATCGCTGATCAGGAAAGTTAAATTCTCCATCCTGGTCTGACCACTCCAGCAATTGCTCTTTTGAAAACAAAGCTGGTGTAACCGCCAGCCTACAGCAGGTTTATGGTCATCCTCCAGTTTCAGCTAAACCTGTTTTTCAGATATTTTTGCATCTTGTGTTGTGATACAGCGGAGCCCAGGTATTTACAGTCAATAGGTTACAATGAGTGAAGTTCCACTGTCTCGTGTTTAGGATTTTCTGTTAACATGTAATTATTTCAAGCTAATAACACCCTGGATTTCTTATCATGCTTTTTGAACATCAGCACAACAGTACATGTCACATAGAATAATAATAATCTGTGCATTTGGTATAGCGCCTTATCACATCATCGAGATCTCTCAAAGCACTTCACAGGATATACTGTAAAGTGGATTGACTGTATATTTTGTGGATGAAACGCGGCAACTAGATGCTCACACAATGTCCTACAAACAGCCATGGAGTGAGTGACCAATTTTATTTGGGGGATTGTTGGCCAGGACATTGGGAAAAACTCCCTTCTCCTTTCGAATAGTGCCAAATAGGGTCTTGGTGTAATCTCTCATCCGAAGTACATAGAAGATAAACAGGTCATTCGCTCCCACAAGCCTGTGCCGGTGTTTATACTCCACACGAGCTTCCACCCCTCCTAATTCCCTTTTCTCCTTTCTCCCTCATGTATGCTTGTGAGGCATACATGAGGGAGAAGGGGATATAAGGGTATAGGAGGGGGATTAAGAAGGGTGGAGACTCGTGTGGAGTATAAGCACCAGCACAGACTAATTAGGCCAAATGGCCTCTCTTTGCTTTATTAATGCCATATTGAAATGACCGGATCCACCCACATTATTGCTGGAAAAGCTAAGATCAGTCCAGAATGAGCAGATATGTTGTTCGAATTCAAGATCCTCATCCTCGCCTGCTCCCTCCTACCTCTCTGACCTGCTATCCCCCTACTTACCTGCCCGTACCCTCCGTTCCTCTGGCTCCGGTCTGCTCCACATCCCCCGCCCCAACCGCCCTACCATCGGTGGCCGGGCCTTGGAACTCTATCCCCCAGTGCCTTTGCCGCTTCCTCCCTTTCCTCCTTCAAGGCCGGTCTCAAGACCTTTCTCTTTGACCGAGCCTTCAGCTCCCCACTCGACGCTCTAACCCCCTCCTCGCTCCCTCCTTTCCCCCCCTTCACCCTGACCATTTCCCCCCTACTCGGGTCCTGACCCAACTGTACAGCGCCTTGGGACGTCCTCCCGACGTGAAAGGCGCTCTATAAATGGAATCTTCTTGTTGTTGTTGCTCTCTTGGTCAGGCAGCATCTATGGAGAAAGGAAAGTGAGTGAATGTTTCGAGTCCACGACCCTTCGTCAGAACTGGGGCATGTTGGGAGGGAGAGGCTTTTGAGGGCTAACAGAGAGGGGGGAGGCAGGGCAAGGAAGAAAATGGGGTAAAGGATGGGGGATGGTGGGTTAAAGAAGTGTTAATGATGCAAAACACAGGGGGTATTGCAACAAAACAGGGAAAAGGGGGTGTTATTTCTCCCCCCCCCCCCTTTGTTTTGTACTAACAAAACAATCCTTTTTTTTCAGATTTCCAGCATTGCAGTATTTCACTTTTGCCTGTTTTCTCGTCTGGTTGTTTAGTGTCTCTGATTTCTCTGATGGTTAACTCGCTTTCTTCATAATATTTTTATTTGACCTCGCTGTGAAAGCATTGGTTATGATATCCGTAGATAACTGGTACTTTCTGGTTTCTCTGTTTCCACTGTTTGTTGTGCGTTGAATTATCCCTTGTCATTAAAAACCTGAGCTACCGGAAATAATGTAAGCAAAGTTTGAATAATCTTGCACATTATATGTTTTGTAAATACCAGCCTCATTATCATGTTTTTTAGGGAAAACAGGCTTCCAGTTTTTTTTCTCAAATGTGGTGGGAAGAAGTTCCACCTGGTAGATTGCGCTGCGACTCTGGTCATGAGATTTGGATACTTTAGATAGTTATTGTGGCCATGAGCCAAATGCCTCATTCCAATCTTAATTTTTGTCTTAGACTGGAATCTCATTGTTTAGGATACATGTGGGAGACAGGATTTGCTTTCCATACTTAGGTTAGTGTTGAGGTATGTGGTGGACTGGTCCAGGCACGCCATGCACAATGGCTGATGTGCTGTATTATTTGTTACAAGCTATTACTTGTTTGTCGTAACAGCTGTTAACAATATTGGAGTCACTTTGCAGGGTTACCTGTAAAGAATGAGGATTATGCTTAGAAAAGGAGGATTTACAATAGAGTTTTGAGAGTTAGAAAAGGAATGTATTTTTCTTCAATGACATCGTAGAGAAGCTTTCTCAGGTGTTGGTGCTATTGTACACAGAGCACATGTTAGGCAACACATTGCATACAGATATACACATTATGTTTTTAGTGGTTGCTTACGTATGTGTAAAAAAAGGGAATTGTTTACATTGCAAATGTATTTTACTACTACAAAACTGTAGGAGAGTTTGAACTGAAAATTTATGCAGAAGTAGAAGGGTTGAATCCTATTTGTGTGTCATTGTCATAATTTGTACTTGAGTATGCATGAACTTTGTACATGTTGTGGAACGAGAGATTTGCTCCTCTGCACCTGGCTTCCTTACCGAGGGCTCGCTAATCAAGGTCAGATGAAGTTCGAAGATTTTTCAGACATTCTTAAATAGGGATTAAATGAAGAGAAGTAGTCTCTGATTTATTTTCCGCCTCCCAGTCCAAAAAACTTAATATCAGTGTGGCAGATCAGTTTATGTAGATGGTGAGTAAGATTGTTCAATTCCAAATCCAGTAGTGTGCATCGACAGGTTGGTTACTTTACATCACCAACAACTTGCGTTTACAGGTAAATACGCATAAGTTATCTTGTTCCAGATCATATAATTGCCTAAATCATACATGCACCCGAGTCCCATTCATTTTCTAACCAAAAAAAATTTGGTTTCTTCATAAATTGTAACAGTCTCTTGGTCTCAAATAATCCCAAATAATTCTAAATCCTAATGCAAATCAATTCCTAATTCACATTGCCGAACTGCTAGCTGCATTGATGAAACACCGCTTGCACACTTAGTGCTGCGTTTGAAACAAGTGCGGGAAACGCGGTCTTGGGGCATCACGCTGTCACAAACGACAAACAAAACTTTGCGTGAATCGTATTATGTCATTCAATGTGACTCATGTGAGTTTGTCGGTAACTCAGACTTCTTGTAAGTCATATTGACTGTTATAGTTCTGACTGATACGATTTATACGAGTTTAACTGCATATAATAGTCTTCATTGAGGATAACGACTCAGAGAACGCTTCACAATGATGGGTTCGGACACCGAGGCAAGGAAGGGGGATGGTGACTATAGACGCGCTTGAAGAGAATTTGCTGACCCGGGTGCTGCTCCAGAGGAAAGAAAGCCACCTGGGGATGTGGTGATAAGTGTCTCTGGAGGTGGGAATAGCGTCGTATTTATACAAGGTGACACCCCCTCACCCCACCCACCCACCTAGAAATACCAGGTCAGGTCACAACAGAGAATTAAATTAATGTAAGATCTGCCAGATTCCTCCAGCACTTGGAAAAGAGAATCTTTATTGCAACATCCGGTGGCATGCAGGTGGAAGGTGGGAAGAAGTTTGAGTTTTCTTGGGGAGTGACAGAGAGAGACAGAGCAGTGAACTTTGGATGAATACACAGCCATGTAATCATCTGCTTAAATATATTCAAGAATCACAAAATGAACCTAAGGCCCCAGGCAAAAGTCTAAAGGTTGGGATCATATTGATAAGATGTTCTTTGAAGTGAATCCACATGTTGGAAAATGAGCTCTAACTTAGGAACAATATAGTGATTTTTATAAAAAGATGTTTAAAGTGGAACTTCTGTCTACCCCAGGGCTATTAATGGACAATGGGAACAAATCAATCAGCTGTTTGTAGTGCAGAGTCAAGCAATCAGTATTCAAAGGAACATTCAGGCATCTCTTAACTGCTTGAATAGATGAACCAAAGATCCAGTAGTGTACATCTCCGCTGTAACTCCCATGACTTTAAAGGTAAGTCTTTCCACGAAACATGAGCCGCATTTAAAAGCTCAAAAAGATAAAAGATTCTCTTGCCTTAGTTACAGTATACTTTTCACCCTGCAATTTCTGAGGCAAGATTTGAAGACAGAGTATTGCAATATCGGTAATTATTCTTGGCCACAAAATACACACAGTAACACCACTTTACAGTATATTATGTGTAGTGCTTTGAAATGTCTTAACGATATGATTGACTCAATGACAAGCACTCTTAGGCACTATGCTAAACGAAGGGTGTTATATCATTGATAAGACAACATGACTGTCATCTTTAACTTCGCAGAGCTGAGCTTTGTATTAAATCCTTGCATCAAATGCAAGGATTATTATTATACTATATTATTATTAGTTTATGATAGTGATATTTAAATCTTTAGATTTTTTAAATGACATTATAAAAAATATACTCTTGTGTGTAATCAAAATCTGTACAATCTGTTTTTAACAAAGAATGAAATTCCAACTTTAAGAAAGTAAGCACAAGCTGTGTTCAAATCATTTATTTTCAAAACAATACTCCCATTCATAGGACTTGCTTTTGCCCATCCATCTTTGGTGACCAGTGGCTACATTGTGATATTGGGAGGCTCAGCTTTCTCAAGTACACAATGTGCGTCAAGCTCTCCCATCAGGTTTTGGTGTAACTACTTGAAATTCTGGAATGTAATTGTGGAGGAATGGATGGTATTGCTCCATACCTGGCCAAGCTCAGGTAGCTCTCTCACCCACAGGTCAGAAAATTGCAAGTCCAAGCCTGACTGCTATATTGTCAGAGGTACAAATTTGACACAAAGCACAGGTACATGGAAGTTAAAGATCCCGTGACACTGTTTAAAAAGAGAAGGGAGTTTCTTCTGCTGACTTGGCCAAGAGACCTCAAGGTTGTTTATGGGGCAATGTTGTCCGCACATTAGCTGCGGTGTTTGCCTAAAACAACATCAACAAATTACATTTGTATAGCGCCTTTCACATCAGGAGGACATCCCAAGGCACTGGACAGTCAGGGATCCATACCCGAGCTGGTGGTTGGGATCAGGAACCCTGGTGGGTGGGGAGGGTACAGTTAGGAGGATGACCGAAGATCGAAGAGGAGGGTCTTGAGACAGGTTTTGAAGGAGGCAAGGGAGTGGGTGAGGCGGAGGGACTGGAGTTCCAGAGAGTGGGGGCAGAGTGGCTGAAGGCCTGACTGCCGATGGTGGGGTGGGCAAGACTGGGGGTGTGAAGCAGGCCGGAGCCCACTGAGTAGAGGGAACGGACAGGTTGGTAGAGGGTTAGGAGGTCACAGTAGTAGGGAGGAGTATGGCTGTGGAGGGCTTTGAAGGTGAGGACCAGGATCTTGAACTGTATCCTCTGAGTGATGGGGAGTCGGGGTAGGATGGGGGTGATAGGATCATGGAGCCTAGAGTGGGAGAAGACATGGGCTGCAGACTTCTGGATTATCTGCAGCCTATGGAGGGAGAGTTGGAGAGGCTGACAAGCAGGGAGTTTGTGTAGTCGAGCCTGGATGTGATGAATGGGTGGATGATGGTCTTGGTGGCCTGTGGTGGGAGTCAGTGGCAGAGCAGGGCGATGTTGCGGAGGTGGGGAAAGGCGGAGCGGGACTTGGCATGGATGTGGGGCATGAAGGACAATTGAGGGTCGAACAGGATGCTGAGGTTCCGTATTGGCTCTGTGAGGTGTAGAATGCATCCATGAAAGGTGATGCTGTCAGCGCCTGATGTGTGGAGGCGATGATGGGAGCCAAGCAGGAGGGCTTGTTGACATTCAACTGGATAAAGTTAGCTCTCATCCCGGACTTGATGTCCGACAGGCAATCTGTATGGACAGCAGTGGTCCTGGAGTCGAGGGTGGAGGCAGTTGGGTATTATCCGCATACATGTGGAAATTGTCTACTACAGATGATGTCACGAAAGGGGAGCATGTAGATGTTGAAAATGAGGGAACCAAGGACAGAGCCCTGAGGGATGCCACAGTGATGGTGCGGGGACTGAAGGAGAAGATGCTATTGGAGACAGTGGGAGAGATAGGATTTGAACCCGGCAAGGGCAGGTCCGTGAAGCTGAGAAGAGAGGTGGTGGAGGAGGATAGAATGGTCAACAGTGTCAAAGACAGCAGAGAGATCGAGGAGGACAAGGAAGCAGAGAGAGGGAGCTTCATTTTATATATACCACTACACTTTACAGATATTTGCTGTGAAGCACTAGGATACATTTCAATAGTGCTAAATACAAGGGATATTATTATATACTCCATTTATCAGTGAGGCTTTACAGTCTAATCTTCCAGTCTAATTCTTGTACAGCAGCAGCAAAAGAAAATGCAAAGAGTGTGTAGAGTATCAAGTATCGCTCACGAAGTCTTTGCCAAAACTGCTGGCCAAGATGCATTGTGTGGACTCCTCAGGCTGCAGAAGGCATTAGGATTATCTGTGACTTACACAAACTGTAACTCTCAACTTAACTTACTGGCTGGCTCAGCGGTTGTCTGGTAGGGGAGCACAATTTATTTCACCGATTTGGACAGTGTTAATAAAGATTGATTATCTTCAAAGGGAGCTTTGGCGAAGACCATCTTGACCTCTGCATTAAGAGGCAATATTATACCACTTGAAGCTTTGATTCTAAACACTACTTTGCCAGTGATGGAGCTTCTTTCTCTGACATGTATCTTGTTGATACTGATCCTGTCTCAAGGCAAGTCACAGAATCTCAAAAAATGTTTCAGCCCCATTGAATGCCTACTTCCAGAATACCCATCCTTCCATCTTCCCATGACTGATTTGAGTGCTATCTTCAGTGAGTCCAGTATCCTTGCCTCTTCCACCCTTACTGGAAACATTTTCAGCTCTGTGTAAACACTTTACCATGCCTAAAATTCATGGTGTCTGCACTCTGCTACGGGGAAGAGCTATATTGTTGGAGATGTCATCCTTCAGAAGAGATGGTTAACCGAGATCTCTTCTGCCTGATCAAGAAGGTACAAAGATCCCATAGGATACTTGAAAAGAAATGGGAGTTTCTCCCAATATCCAGGACAACAGGTCTCCAGATAAAACTGATCGTTCACTTCATGGCTCTTTGTGGACATTAAAAACAGTGATCAAATTTACCTGTTATTTTTTCATCAAACATTGACTGTATATTTCACCCCAAAATTTACAATCAATTCACTTTACAGTAAATTGGACAGTGCAGACTTATAGTTCTGGTTAAAGCACTCGCCTCTCAAGTGAGAGACCTGGGTTTGATTCTCGGCACAGCGAAATGTTGGACAAGTTTCTTTACTCTGTTTACCTAGCAGTAAGTAAGAACCCTATTGTAAGTCGATTGGCGGATTGATTTTCTGGAAGTATTATTTCCTTNAAAAAAATTGGTCGCTTCAATCCGCGACTGTTTGTGGGACACTGCTGTGCGCAACTAGCTGCCACATTTCATCCACAAAATATACAGTCAATTCACTACAGCATATTCTGTGAAGTGCTTTGAGACATCGCGAAGAAGTGATAAGGTGCTATATAGCCTTATATGTGGAGTCCTGTAGCTCAGTGGTTAGAGCACTCGCTTTGCAAGCGAGAGACCTGAGTTCAATTCCAAGCAGGGCTAAACCTTGGGCAAGTTTCCTTACTCCACACGCCTAATAATAATCCCTCCAAAACCAAAAACAATAATAAATTGGTCATTTTCAACTACGACTGTTTGTGGGACATTGCTGTGCGCAATTGGCTGCCGCGTTCGCCCACAAATGTACAGTCAATTCACTTTACAGTGTGTTCTGTGAAGCGCTTTGGGACGTCCTCCCGACATGAAAAGCGCTATATCAAATGCAAGGATTATTATTATATAAAATGCAAGGTTTATTATTCTGTGAAGCGCTTTGAGAAGTCTCGAAGACGTGGTGGCGTTACATCAAATGCAGGGATTATTATTAAATATTCCTTTATATTTTTTAGTTCCACAGACAGAGACGTTTTTGTCTTAATAAATAGTCAACAAATGTACAAGTTACACATGTCTTTAATTGTGTATATGAAAAAAAATCTTAACATGTAATGGTAAGACTCCAGCTGCTGACTTGAAATAATCCAGTAAATATGGGTGTAACATTACTTTTTTCATAACATGATTACTGATGTCACTCACATTGTGTAATAGGCTTAAGGAGCACAAAAGAGGTGTATCTCTCGTTACTATATTTTCTCTGAACTTCATATACAGTGAGTGGAACAGCTGCAGCAGATTGAATACTATGAGGTAACTTAATCCATATCGTTCACTGATCTGTGACAACTTCAATGTCTTGGTACTGCAGATATGATTTATTAACAAATTACCTTTAGGATAAACTAAGGGTAGTGCCGGTATACAAGGCAAATCTAACCGTAGTTCAAACAAAACGTTTCTTCAACTTGCCAGTTCTGAAATAAACTTGAGCTCATAGTTCTAGGCTGATGCTCTGATGCAGAGTTGGATGTGCGCTGCACTGTCAAGAGGTGTTGATGAGAGGTTAAACTGTCTGCTTGTTTAGGTGGACATTAATGGTCACTATGTTACTATTCAAAAAGATAAGAGAGGTTCTCTCTTGTCCTGGCCAACAGGTTCCACCAACAACGAGTGACGATGATCCTTGCATTTGAAAAAGCGCCTTATCGCATCATTGAGACGCCTCGAAGTGCTTCACAGAATATACTGTAAAGTGAATTGAGTGTTTATTTTGCGGGCAAAACACGGCAGCCAACTGTGCATAGCAGTGTCCCACAAACAGTTGTGGATATTTTTGTTTTGAAGGGATTATTACTCCTGGAAAAGTGATCTGCCAATCGACTAACATCCAGGTTCCTACTTACTGCTAGGTAAACAGAGGCGCGTGGAGTAAGGAAACTTGCCCAACATTTCGCCCTGCCGGGAATCAAACCCAGGTCCTCTCGCTTGCGAGGCGAGTGCTCTAACCACTAAACTCCAGGACTCCACTAC